GACTGATTTTAAAAGAAAAACACGGCCGGGCTCGGTGGCTCAGCCTGTAATCCCAGCGCTTTGGGAGGCTGAGGTGAGTGGATTGCCTGAGTCCATGGGTTCAAGACCTGCCTGGGCAACTTGACCAGACCTCATCTCTACAATAAATAAAAAAAAAATAGCCGGGCATTAAGGTAGCGCATGCCTGTAGTTCCAGCTACTTGGAAGGCTGAGGCAGAAGGATCGCCGGAGCCCAGCAGGTTGAGGCTGCAGTGGCCGTTCCTGGCCACTGCACTGCAGTCTGGGTGACAGAGTGACTCCAACTCAAAAAAAAGAAAAAAGAAAAAAAGAAAAGAAAAACACATTTCATGCCGAATGGGCCATCACCACGTGGCTTTGCTAGACATGGATTTTTAAAACATGAACTTTTTGTCTGATGCTTTCTAAGTCCACTGACCCTCAGGAAATTAGTATAGACATTGTCTTCATTGGGGTAGCCAACAAGGTATTTTTCTTCTTGAGCCAGAGAAGCCATAGAAATCCCTTGGGTCTTCTGTCTCCCTGCTGTTTGGGGTTTTTCTGATGGGATAAACACTCCAAAGAGAAGCTAAGCTACTAGCCAGTGTGTCTGCATTGGTGCAACTTCCTAATTTATCATTGGCTCGTGCAAATCAGTTGCCAGCCAGACAACATATCTCACTGGTTTCTTGGGTTAATTCAAATAATGCAAAAGCAATGACTCTGCACTTGAGTTTTCTAACCAGTTGGCCTCGTCAGGTATATGCAGCCTATGACAGCAACCATCAGAAACATCAGTGAGAAATGGGCGCAACAGCTCACGCCTGTCATCCGCACACTTTGGGGGGCCGAGGTGGGAGGATTGCTTGAGGCTAGGGGTTCGAGACCAGCCTGGGCAACTTGGCGAGACCTTGTTTTTACAATAAATCAAAAAGTTATCCAGGCAGGTGTGGTGGCGCGTACCTGTGGTTCTAGCTAGGTATACTGGATGCTGAGGCGGAAGGATCGCCTGAGCCCAGCAGGTCGAGGCTGTGGTGAGCCATGATCGTGCTACTGAACTCCAGCCTGGGCAAAAGAGTGAGACTCCAACTCAGGAAAAAAAAAAAAGGAAAAAGGAAAAATAAATACTTTTTAAAAAAGAAACCTAAGGAAAAGACATTACAAAATGATGCCTTTGCTGATTGCACACTTCCTGCTCTTGGTTTCCCACACTAGACCCTGGTGATAAGACTAGTTACATAGAGAAACGAGAGCAGATGGAACCGTGTTGCCCATCGAAACTGGACTGGGTAAAAAAAAAAATGTGGTACATATGGACGATGGAATATTACACAGCCACGAGGAAGGACAAACATATGGACTTTGCAGCAACTTGGATGGATTTATAGTCCATAATACTTGGTGACCTATCACAGATCTACCTACCACATGTTCTCACTCATAAACAGACCCTGAACCATAATACTATAAGAAAGGGATGGGCAGTAGTGGGATACTACGAGGGGCGGGGAATGGACGGACACATAAAAGCAATAGGGGTACCTGATCTCAAACCAGGCAAAATGGGGACCAAAGGGAGGCCCAAACTTTACCTGTATGATGAGCACTTGTATACCCAATCCTGAATTGTATGCCACAACTTTAAAATAAATAAATAAATAGGAAACAGTAACAACAAAAGAAACCATTAAGAAAAATGAGAGCAGAATGTCACTCTCAGTCACTTGGAGGCTGAACTGGTTACAGCAACAGGACAATGAAATGACCACCATTTTTCAACTCGCAGTGGCTTGCATGTTCTTGGCCAGTGGCCACATGACAAACCAGCCAGGTAACCTTCAGAACATCTTTCCTGCAAGAGAACTTCCAAGTCTTGTTGCCAGCCATTTATACAGAAAGGCAAAATCTCCCAGGAACACATTTCCCAGCATGTCTTAGCACATACTCTTAGAGGCCACCTGTGATGGCACGTCAGGTGCTGAGGAAGAAAAATGACACCTGTATCCTCGCCACCACGGTCGATGGACAAAGTTCCTTATGTAACCTCCCCACAGCCAGGAAAAGAGTACTGGAAAAATTCCAAGAATACGTCATGCTGGCTGGCCCAGTGGCCTACGCCTATAATCCCAGCACTTTGGGAGAAGGCGGCGAGAGAATTGCTTGAGACCAGTTTGGGCAACATAGTGAGACCTTGTTTACACACAAAAAATCAAAAAATCAGAACCAGGTATGGTGGTGCACTTGTAGTCCCAGCTACTCGGGAGGCTAAGGCAGGATGGCCTGAGCCCAGGAGGTTGAGGCTGTCATGAGCCAGAGTGAGACCCGACTCAAAAACAAACACACAGAAAAACACACATGCCTAACTGCTGCAACACACCATACAAACTAGGGTGCACAATCCCAAGAATGGCTAACAGACAGTTAGACTTGCTAGGGTCACCTAATTCTCTATTCGCTTCAGGGCCCACATACTGAGTTCTAATTCTGTCCTTTTCTGAGCCATACTCTCTGGCCTGTTTCTGGTTGTGTGCTGATCTTGCTCAAGCAAAATGACATAGGGCAGCAATAGCTCCATCAAAAATACAATCCCAAGAGTCAGACGGCACGAGGCTGCCACAGATGCCACGTTTGTGTCTTCGCAGTATGTTGAAGACCTAACTCCAGTGGGATGGAATTGAGAAGAGGGGGCTCGGGAGGTAATTAGCAGTAGATGGCGTCAGGAGGGTGGAGCCCTATGACAGGACCAGTGTCTTTACGTGAAGAGACAAGAGCAGGGGTATCTGACCTTCGGTGTCCCTGAGCTGCATCAAATAGAGGGAATTGTCTTGGGCCACAAATAAATGTTATACTATGGTTACTGTGTGTATCAAGACTTTTAAAATATTTATTATAAAGTTTAGAAAAATGGGAACTATATAAAACTAGTGGGAAATCTGACTTTGTTTTTGTAAAACTAATGAATCAATGTCTGGTTCGATGGAAGTGCTCACGACTCTTAGTGAGTCCTCAAGGTGCTCGTCAGAAATGTTTGTTCAAATTTTACTCTTCATGCGCGTAACTGAAAACAGCTGTGAAAAAGTGATGTCATGAATAAGGCATGACTGTGAACTTCAAAAACGGAACTATGTAGAAAATAAATGCTAAAAAACGCACGACGTGAAAAGATTTTGTGGGGCCACACGAACAGCTATCCCGGGCTGCATGTGGCCGTTGGGACATGCCTGGACTCAAGCTTTTAGTCTGTGACCCGAGGACAGTGAGAGGTGGCTGTCTATAAGCCGGGAGCCTCACCAGACTCCACATCTGCTGGCACCTGACCTTGGACTTCCAGCCACTCAGTCTATGGGATAATTGTAGCGAGGCTATTGTGCTGCCTTGCTAATACCAGCTTCCAGTTTCCTAACAAACAGCACAGCCACAAGAAGAGGGACGTGGGAATCGTCTGCTGCCACTCGGTCCGCCACACGAGGGATGGTCACCTTAAGAGATGCTGTATTGCCACAGCACCAGTTAGCCAGGAGACCCCGGGTCCTGCTGCACTTGATCGACCTCCAACCACTATCTTTTTCAGAGACTTGAGATCTTTCGAAGGGAGTTTCATCTCCAGCACCTTTGGGGCTTGGCAAGATATACACACCTCAGCAACGTAAAGATGACGCGGGAACCACTGACAGGGCTGGTGACGTCTTCTCCTCTAAATACAGGACTGGTTTAGGACGTGGCGGCAGGCCGTGGGCATCACAACTGCAGGACCGAACTCCGGGCAGCTTCCTGGGAGGAGGTATGCTCCCTTCATAGGGCCCGTCCGGAAAGAGCCCGCAAATGGCTCACAGGGGACGCTTGGTGACAAAGCCACTTTGCCCTGCTGAGGGTGGATGGCCACCACCGACTGTGGAGGCTAGGGACAGATTCACGATGGACAGGCCACTGATGACAGTGTGGCACGACCTGGCTCAAGTGCCACAATCTGGGACTCAATGTGGGGCTGCAGGCTGGGCTTGTGCCTCAGCTCTTGCCAGGTCACTGCTGGGGTAGTTGCTTCCCCCAGAGTTGACTTGGCTTCCAAATTCCTTGTGCTCCGTGGGAACTGTACAGCAATTTGATGAGAAGCAAGTTAATATGACTTATAATTCAGCCAAGCCAGTCAGAATAGAGTTCCAGGTGAGGGAGCTACGCTGAGTGACGGCGCCAGAACCGTCACCTCCCGAGGCACTGCCTTGACCTGAGTGGGGCCAGAAGCCGGAGCTCAAGAGGCCCAAGGGCCACAGTCGGCATGGAGCCCTTGCACGTGACTGCCCTTACGTCTTCCATCTGGAAGCTTCCTGTCCACCACCTGAGGGTGTGACATCAGAGACACAGCTGAGCTGCCCCGGTGGCCCTCAACTAAAAGGATGTTCAGCTTTGATCTAAACAATTATTCTGGTGATACTAAAAATGCCGGGATACCGACACAAGAAAGAAGGAAACAAGGGGAGAAAAATCTCCCCCTTTCTGCGAATTAAAGATTCAGAAACTTCATTTAGGCCAGGTGTGGTGGCCCATGTCTATAATCCCAGCACTTTGGGAGGCTGAGGCAGGAGGACTGCTCCAGGAATCCGAGATCAGCCTGGGCAACATAACAAGACCTCATCTCTATTAACAAAATCACGGGCATGGTGGCACACACCCGTCATCCCAGCTACTCAGGAGGCTGAGGCAGAAGGATTGCCTGAGCCTAGGAAGTCGAGACTGCGGAGAGCTATAATTGTGCCACTGCTATCCAGCCTGGACGACAGAATGAAACCCTTTCTCAGAAGAAAGAAAGAAAAAAGGAGAAAAAACCTCACTTACTCAAATCACTCTGGTTAGCAAGTTTGGAATTCTAACTACACATCCCGTGACACGGGGCAGCATCCACAAACACACCAAGCCGACTGCGGGCTCATTCTAATTCAGAGGCAAAGCCATGCCCCATGACTCCCAGTTGTTGGAAACGGCACTCACGTTCAAAAAAACACACAGCCTTAAACCAACGTGGTGATCTTTTATTGATGGGCGACACTGTATACTCCTAGGAATCACTAACCTGTGTACATTAGGGACGCAGCAGTACGGAAGAGCAGACAGCAGAGTGAAACAGGAGACTGAGGAAGTGTCCGCCTCCACCATGTGCCCGTTGCTCATGTGTACACAGAAGCATGAATGTAAGTGGAAATCTTAATGGCCATAAAGTTACAATCACCCATCTATGGAGACTGACATCTTAACTCCAAGGATCTGATCTGCAACATGTACGTAAGCAGCTTCTCATCACACAATTATTAAAATGTATTTTGCCTGTTAGGAACCAGCAAACTTGTTTTTTGTGTTTTTCTTTTGAAATAAGAACTATTTCTTCTTTGATAACTGGCTCATTTTTATTGTTTATCAAAAACTAAAGGGCGAGGGAGGAAAGTGTGATGGATTAAAAAATTTCTTTTTTAAGGAAAGATAAAATTCATTTTCACAAATTTACAAGTGCTGCTGCTGGTGCAGGATTTATTCAACTAAGCGATCAGACTGGGAAGCGAATGCAAGTTCGCTTTCTTAGCTCAGGAATCAGCATAATTTCAGAAGTACGGGTTTTTGTGTATGTTCTAAAATCAAGCAACAGTCTGTTTCAACCAAATGATTTTGATTTGGGAGCTAGAAGTCAATATCAACTACACTGTGCACCAACCCTAAGGCGTCTCCTTGTCACTCTAGCCCATTTTGCAAAAGGGAGAGAGAGTTTCCCTCTATGGAGCCACTAACGAGAGGCAGGAAGTTAGTGTGACTGGTGTTCGTAGGCGGTGTCGGGCACACAGCAGGGCTACAGCAGGTCCACGCGGCGGTAATACAGGAGGTAGGCTGTGCGCTCAGCGGCGGGCCGCACCACCTGGTACTGGCTGATCACCTTGACTGCCTGGTCATCGATGCGAAGCCAGCCGTTCAGACCAATCTGGAAGACGTCTGTGGTGTAGTGGCCGCCCGTCGCACTGCTGCCGTGGTGGTAGACCACTGGAAGAGAGGCCACAGGTGACATTGAGAAAAGCCCCGCCCACTGCCCTCCAAAGATGCGGCTGGCGCACAGAGCACTGAGCCGCCGAGCAGGCGGGACAGGGACGGAATGACACCAGACAAGGAGTGCTGCAAACGGTGACACTCGAAAGAGACAAAGACCAAAGGCCTCAAAGACCAGCTGTAAAAGAGAAAGGAGGATGGAGGGAAACACAGAGAGGAAGAAGGCGTGGAAAGAAATGGATAATGTAGGAAGCCCCAACCAGGAGACGGGGGTTGCGGGCACCCATCTGGGAACGGGGTGTGCCATGGAGGACTTCAGGGGCGCCCGTCTGGGAACAGGCCATGCTATGGCCCTCCTGAGGGGCTTCTGGGGCTGATGTGGGAGCCTGGCAGCCGAGGGGCCTGGGTAACCCGGGCACCTTCTCAAGCAGCCCCAACAGTGCTGTATGGAAGAGGACACAGGGAATGCCACCTTGGGTGCACTCCCCTCACCGAGCTAGTGGTCAGGTGTGGAGCTGCCACAGCACTGTCAACCACAGGCCCGCACCAGGGAGAGCCCCCTTCTCAGAGGCAGGCCTGGCAGCCAGGCGTTCACTCCTCTGCTCCAAGACGCCATGTTCGCCTTGGGCGAGGTCTTGTGTGAGGCTCAGTCAGCACCAAGATGACATCTCCCAAACTCTATGCACCAAGGTGAGGTGAGACACACACTCCCATCCTGCCTTACAGAGGCCACAGGGTGCCCACACCGAGTGGTGTCCTCTCCATGGGAAGCTGGAAGGCAGCGGAATTGTTCGCGCCCCAGCCCCTTCCATTACACCTTCAAAGAGGAGGCGAGGCTGCGCAAAGTACTCACCTGCAAACAGCCGGTAGGTTCTGTGGCATTTAAAATTCTTATTTTTAACTCCTGGAGAAAGCAGCTCTGAAAAACAAAATACCAACAGCTCCAATCCATAAAAGCACTTACAAAAAGGCCTAGAGCAACAACACCAAACAGCTCCTGACAGTGTCCCCTCAAGTGAACACTGGGTGGACGACGAACAAAACAGAACCCCACACCCTTAGCTGCCCAAAAACTGATTTGGGAGGAAAAATCAGCCAGGAGACTCAGGGCAGACAGGAGCAGCCGACCTGCTGGAGAAACACAAGCAGTCTACTGAACCATGAAGCCCACGCAGGAAACCCCTCAGCAACAGATGCTCCAAAAAAATGGGAGTTGGGGGCGGGGAGGAGCTGCCCACTTAAAAGCAAAACCAAGAACATGAAACAGTCGTGAAAAACAAGAACCATGATATGTCACACGTGAGTCGGCTCATCCGGTCTCAGTTGCACAACAGTAGGACGCCCGCTCCGGGCTGTCCCGGCCAACAGCTGCTGCACCGGGGCCTGCCCTCTTCCTGCGCCAGAAGCAGCACTCCGATGGCAGGGAGCTCAGCGGGACACAATGCTCTTGGTGGCCTCCGAGTCCCTTCTCTGCTCCCCACTCCACGGCCTGAGCCGGGTCCTCGGGTCCTCGTGGATGCCCCCTCTCTGGGAGGCCCTGGAGGCGGCAGCTGATGTAGCCCTGCACACACATGCCGGCAAAGCCAGTGGAGAAGCCAGCCTGTCAGCCCCAGCGGGTGAGGGAAGCCACAGGCAGACAGGGCAAAAGACACCTCCCGTGATCACTCTCCAGCCTCGGGCTCCGCCACTCCGGGCAAAGCGGGCGGGATGACCAGCACACGGTCTCGCAGGCACCTTTCTTCCCCATGTGCTGCTGGATGGTGGCCCGCTGGAAGTGGAAGGAGGGCTGAACACTGAGCTGGCCCAGCATCTGTGCCCAGCGGCTGTCGGCCACCTCCGTGAGCAGGCCTGGAGGGGACTGCCCGAGTCCCACGGAGGGAATGTGACATCTAGGCACAGCGGCAGTGGCTACACACCAGCTGGTGGCCGATGCCCCTCGGCTCCAGCCTGAAGGCAGGTGTGGATGTGTGCGCTGCGCTGGGAGTGGAGACAGGAAGGACTCTCGAGTCAGGTCAGGAGTGACATCAGATGTCCTCTCTCCTGCGTCCCGGACCCTTGGTGTCCTGAGAATCACATCCGGCTCACTGCAGTCTCGATCCAGCCTCAGTACTGTGCAATGCGTGTCCACAAATTCTGAAGCTTTCAAGAAAGTTTCCCCATGAGCTGTGCTTTCAGCAAGACACACTGAACTTGGGGCTCTTTGAAATTGCTTCCCAAAAGTGCTGACACTGCTGAGCCCAGTTACCTGACAGTGATAAAGGGCCACAAATCACGTGTGTCACAGCAACGGGAGGTCAGAGGGACTCCCACTGCCCCAGGGACACATCCTTCCCTCACCAGAAAAGTCCATCAGCCAGCTGGTCAGCACCGCTGTTGTTGCTTAATGGAAAAGACTGACTTGTGTACCATCAGTCCATAAAATGTTGCTAGAAAAGGATGTTCTTTTTGATGGACAAAAGTGCCTCCTCTTCTGATCTAGTAAGATGATAGTTTAGTCCTTTTTCTATTTTGAAAAGGCCATTTTCACGAGAATTTTAATAAGAAGGTCTACTAAAGGTCAAGACATTTAAAACAGAGCAAGCCCAGCAAGAGAACCCGCTCGCTCATGACCTGCCGCAGAATGCCACGGCACTGAGCTCACCGACCATCAACACGCTGCGCCTCCTGTGTGACTTGCCTTTGCTGATCTCCAGGTCCACAGGATAGTCAATGTTCTTGATGAGCTTCTGACAGCCACCGGTCTTCTCGTAAACAAATCGCTTCAGGTGCAACACAAGAACAGGAGGAAGTTTTTCCAGAGTCACCCTTCGACTTATCTCGACCTAAGACACAAAACACACAAGGACACACCGTCTCCATCTTGCCTGATGTGACCAGCAGCATCACATTCATCTTCCGCACAAAGCCCTCCAGAGAGCTGACGCCTGGGTCCCAGCGCAGGGCTCCATGGTCTTTCCTGCGCCACAGAAGCCGTGACAATCACTCACACTCTTGGACAAATGCACATGCCCTGACACACTGCGGGCGACCCCCCTGGGTCTCCAAAGTCATACATAAACTCCAAGCGAAGAACTTTACTGCATTGATGAAATGGCATAAAAATTAAAAAGCTAACTTAGAAGTATCTCAAGTCACATGTATTAACTCATTTAAAAATAACTCTCACAGTGCTGATAAACGAATGCCAGCATGTTCTCCAATCAGACGTTTTAAATAACCCTGAAGCTACTCCAGCCATTAGTTTTATCAACTTAATATGCCCCTGAAGTACCTTCCCAGGTCTAAAATAAAGCTAGGTTTTTTTTGTTATTAAGATGCATTTTAGCCGGGCTTGGTGGCTCAGCCTATAATCCCAGTGCTTTGGGAGGCTGAGGTGAGTGGAATGCCTGAGCCTGAGGGTTCGAGACCTGCCTGGGCAACTTGGTGAGACCTCATCTCTACAATAAATCAAAAATTAGCCGGGCGTGGTAGTGCACGCCTGTAGTTCCAGCTACTCGGAAGGTTGAGGTGGAAGGATCGTCGGATCCCAGCAGGTCGAGGCTGCAGTGGCCGGGAGCAGCCACTGCCCTCCAGTCTGGGTGAGAGAGTGAGACTCCACCTCAAAAAAAAAAAAAAAAAAGAAGATGCATCTTTACGAACAATGCTTAATCCCTTCATCTGCTATTCTCTGTACTTATAAATCACTTGATACCTCCTTTGTGTATCTGGAGAATACTTTTGGTAGAAATATTTTTAATATAACAATCCAAAATATAGCAGCACAATAACACTGTCTCCATGTTCCATGTCAAGTTGGAGGAACTTTAAGGGGTACTACATCAGCTCACGAGTCATCCCCGGTTGGATTTATCAACTTTCCAGACCCTTCTATGCCTGTGTTACCACCTAGACTGAGACCCAGGAGCAGAGACAGCCTCACGTCTCCACATTCCCACTGCGCCTTTATATCCTGCTGTCTCTGTATCCAACAGGACTCTGTGGACTAATGAAAGCATGAGCACAGCTCAACTGGTAAGATGCACAACAAGGACTGCAGGAGTCAGCGTCCTGACTGGTGAGCTGAGGGCTGGACTGGGTGATGGTGAGGACGCTTTCCAGCACTGACTGATCTATGACTTTAATGCTTGCAATTCATCAAATGGCTGATATGAAATTCCCAGTTGTGCATTTTGGGCTCCAGACCCAAACTGAGGCATAATTTCTAATCATCCAACAAAACCAGACATTTTCCATATAGAAATTCTTTTGCAGAGTCATACTTTCCCAAGGACCTTAACATGTTCCCACAGAAAAATACTCTTGACCCAAAACATAAAGTTGAAGTTGGCATTGTAAAAAGCAAATTAAAAAAAGAAAATCACACTCAAAAAAGCATGTTCTGTGCTCTTTATGTATGCTTCTACACACTGTCCAGACCTGCCCCCCCCGACTCCTGTGCCGACAGGCTCTCCCCCAGAACGGAGAAACTCACATTGTCCTTTCTTACCTTCAAGGCACCACCAAGATGCCACCCTCATCCCTGAAGGCTTTGTGCAAACTGCTCCTTGGGATGCACCACTGTCCTCACCAGTTGAATCACAGGCTGACCACCACTTTGGCCTCATCCCTGCCCCTCCCCTCCCCACCCCCACCGCAAAGTCAAAATTGCAGCAGATGCAGAGGGGAAAGCAGACACATGGGGAAAGGCCTGCCTGGGAGCCTGGACCAGGCTGCCGACCTACCCCGCAGACATATGGCTGGACCCCACAGTAGGCCCAGGGAGGAGAGGAGAGTCACGGCCAAGACAGGCAGATGTCGCTGCAGTCACGAGCCAGACAGTCGCCCACAGCCAGGGCCTGGTGTCACCTCCCAGTTGACCCCAACACACCATCTCCCTGCCTCTCTTTGAGGCTCCACCGCCAGGCTCTTCGCTTCTTCATGTGGGCCGACAGCCAGCTCCTGTCTCTGGCTCCTAACATTTTCATTAGCAAAACACTTGCCCACGAGACGCAAGTCAGAAAACATGGAGGAGGGTTCAGCATATTTTCTATAGACCCAAGAGCCCGGTTTGACCAGTCCAAAGCAGGAGATTCCCCATGTACTACGTAAAGACGCCTCCTGGGCTGACTTGGCTCTTGTTACCTGGAGACCTCAATCTGCAAGGCAAGGGCTACTCCATTCCAGGCATGCCAGGTGGTGTCAGTCCTACTAAGTGAGGGATCTTGTTTTGCCTGTAGCCTCCCTACACCACCCATCATTTAAATGTAGCATCAAGGAATACCAGGAACTGCTCAGAAAGGAACGTCCATAACTAGCCACATTCACCCCCCAACCACGTTGATGAACTCATTGCCACAATCTCAGATATGTAATAGGAAGCCACTCACAGGTGCCCTCAGGCAACCAGAAACTAAGCAGTTCTCACTCAGGGAGCAGTATCCGTCCCTCCCGACTGCACTGGCAAGCACACCCGAAGCTAGCATCTGACACTCTCAATTCATAAAGACCAAAAGACCCAACAACTGTTCCTTTTCCAGAACAAATCAAAGAGTAACAGTACCAGAACTTTATTTTATTTTTCAACGTCCTTGAAGATTTACAATCAAATGCAAGGCAGACGTGTTTAGAACCTCCTGCATATCCTGAGTCATCTGGTAAGGGCTGTGCTCTACGACATCATGAACAAAGCAAGCACTTAGCCTCTGCTGGAGGTAGCACTGACGTCGTGATATCGTGATCAGGTCGTGGGAAATTCACAACCCAGAGGAGAGCATTACCTAGTGCACCACAATCAGAGCTGAAAGACGCCGTTGGGAGCACCTGTCTCCACCACTTCACTGTAAAAACGTGGGACCTTTCAGTTCAAGGAAGTTGAGCGATGGCCTCAGAGGCAAAGCTCAGCTCCGCCCCCTTCTCCCTCGCTCTCGTTCTAGTCCCTCAGCACCGAACCCGCAACCAGCTGGGACCGTACCTCCTGCTTGGTCTTCGTGGTGTAGCCCTGGACGGACTCCCTGGCCACCAGGCTCTCCAGCGCATCCTGCACCGTGCGGATCCTGTCTGACTGGATGTCCAGCTGCAGCGTGAAGAACGGCTGCAGGGTGGCCGACTCCTTAGAGCTCTGCTGGTAGACCACGGACCTGGGGGGCAGAGCAAGTGTGAGGGCCAGCCAGGAGGGCATGAGACACAAACACTGAAAATACGATGGCTCAATGTCACTTCCAGAGTGCCACTGAGGAACGCCACAGGCGGAATTCCAAAACAATTCCGCCAAACACCACCTCCCTGACATTCTAGCCACGACACCCAGCAGCTGAGGGATGTGCCCAGCTCCAGGCCCAGAAGCAGGCACACCTCACTCTCCAAATGCTCTCACCCTACTCCACTGGGCCCTGACTGTACCAGGTAATCAATGCAACCATCTTGCCAGGTCCCAAATGCCGATACTTTTAGTTTTCTCAAAGTATCAGAGCCTGTTCTAATAAAACAGAGGAAATCCCCAGGTAAACAGAATATTTTTAATGGCTTTTTCCCCCTATAAAAGTGACTTACAAAAAGAAGGGAAGAAGGGTGTGTATAATAAAAAAATAAGTGAACATTCCAGGAAAAAGGCTATCCCCCTTCCAGGAAGGGTGCCAACTCAACCTTGTTTGCTTAGCTGGGTTTTCATTTCATTATTCTTGTTCTATATGTTTTCCTGGGTAGAAATTGTATGTTTGGCCCATCTCTTACTTAGCCTCAGCAAGGAGACATTCCAGGAGCTCAGCAATGGATTCTGTGACTGCAGTCCAAGTGACCTAGTTCATAAGCGGAATAACATGGACGTGGACAGGTACGCAGTCTTTCCAGAACAGATGCCACTTAGGCCCACTAAGAGTTTATCCGTCCAGGGTTAATGAAGCATCTCAACACTCCTTCTGAATGTCAAGACTTGAGTGACAGCAGTTTCTGTGGTTCCAAAAAGGAATATGGTCGTGGGGAAACCAATAATGAGAGCCAGGGAAGAAATCAAGGGGTGCCCTCCTGACCTGTGGGTCCTGCCTTTGACCAAGAGCATCACTAGGAAGAACACAGGGAAAAGGCTGGTCGTCCTGGGGAGACCAGAAAATGCCTCAAGAGGCTGGCATTGAGAAAAAAACCTCTTAGTTGGTCTGCATGAAGACTCAGCTTAACCACGGCTGAAAAGAAGTTCCTAAACTACAAGAGCTACACTATTCAGAAAGAAACCTCCACCAGCATATCACCACGAAGCCTCCACAGAGGTGGAGACACAGCTACGACACAGCCATTCAAACCAGGCCAGCCACTGCTCCCAAGCACACACCAGCAACTCAGGAACTGCCAGGTACGTGGGCCATCTGCCGCCTGGCAGTTCCAACCCCCACCTCAGCACCAAAGTGGTGCTCCTGTTGTCTGCATCTGGGCAGGTGCCTCAGCCTCTCCCATCCCCGAGGCCACACTCCAACTCTCCTAGACTCTCCCAACGTCAGGCTGCTGGGTGATGGTGCTAAGGGCACAGCCTCCCCTCCTGTGCTCGCCAGCCTGGACTTCTGCTTTCCCCTGCTAACACGACACATCCCAAGGAACCACAGATGGCAAAGAAGTCACAGCAGTGGCAGTCAGGGCTAGGTGTTGCCCCGACCACAGCTGACAGGGAGATGCCAACACCAGAACAGAGAGGCCTCAGAGTTGCACTGACAGCACAGGACACAGAAGTGACTGGTTCAGTGTCACAGGGTTGCCCTGCTGGCTTCCGAACCAAGTTCTATGCAGGATTCAGAATTGTACTCTGGCAGGGTCAGGACAGAGCTTCTGATGTGTTATCAGTTTGTTGAATGTTGCTCATTCTCAGCTGTTCTAGAGCAGACACTGAAGCAGGTCTGGAAGCCCTGAAAGGGTGTTCTTTCTTTCAGATACCCAGCATTTGGGATGACTTTAAAAGAGTAAGCCTCTCACTAAAATACCTCCATCGGAAGTCCTTGAGAGGCTGGAACTATAGGTCTGTGCCACCACACCCAGGTAGTGTTTTGATTTTTTTTTTTTTTTTTGTAGAGACGAGGTCTGGCTATGTTGCCCAGGCTGGTCGTGAACTCCTGGCTTGGCTTCCCAAAGTGCTGGAATTATAGGCGTGAGCCACTACACCCAGTCCTTTTAGTACTTTTGGCCAGTAAACTTCCTTGGAGGCAGTATAAGTTTTACTGAATTCCACATCACAAGGGCAGAGAAAGGTTCTCACATAAAGGAAGATGTTTTAGAAGGACTCATGAAAGAGGAGAAGCTGGGTGAGGGGCCTGGCTCTGAGCCAGGTGCCCTGGTACGTGTCCTCCGACGTAAGAGTGCTTCCCTCCACACTCCCCTTGCTCCCTAGCTCACGTGGTTCCAATCCATACACAACAGCCAGGACAGGAAACAGCCTAAGTGTCTGTGGTCGGGCTAATTAAGAGACCAAGACACATATATACCATGGAACATTTTTCAGCTATAAATGGGGGAAGATCCTGCCAGATGCCACACCACCAACGAACTCCAAGGCCGTTATCCTACGTGAAGTACACCAGGCATGAAAGAAAAATAATGCACGGCCTCAATCAAATGTGGAATCTCAAAAAAAAAAAAAGAAGGTCTGAGATAGAGAGAGAGAAAGCAGCGGCTTGAGGTGGGGGCGAGAATGGGAGCGGGTCAGAGGGCATGAAGCAGCAGACATGCAGGCTAAAGGGTCTTGAGGCCTAACGCTCAGAGGAGGACGGTGGGTGACAATGGCGTGTCCAGTGCAGACCTTTGCTGAGTGAGCAGACGGCAGCTGCCCCTGCCCCCCCAACGCGGGTGACTGCAGGACGATGGAGGCTCTCTTGCGTCACTGTAGGAACCACTTTACCACCTATACTTCATTTCACATGGTAGACTTTAAATGTGTCCAATATAAATATATTAAAATAAACAGCGACAACTCCTCCAATCACACGTGCATTTCTTCTCCTGGGGTCTTCCACCCCCGGCACAAGCCACTGGACCTGGAGTGAGAGGATGCGGGAGTGCTGTGGCCACAGGCCCTGGGGACGCACCCCCCACAGAACCACACGGGGAGCGCGGGGGGCGGTGGGGGCGTGCCAGGGAGGTGAGGCGAGCCACCGGCTCCAAAGGTCTCAGGCGAGCTTCACACCCCCGCTTCAGCAAATAGCAAAACCCCAGAAAAGGCAAATACTGAGTCAATCCAGAAAAGCATCGACCTGATGTGTCCGCCAAAGATGCCAGTGATGGGCGTCTGCACGAAGTCTGCCTGGCGGGTGACGGAGGTCTTGTTCCGGGGCCCCACCTGCTCCCACTCGTCCTCGCTCCCCTCGCCCTGCTCCTGGTCTTCTTCACTGACCGAGTGGCTCTTGGGCCCGTTGGAAACCATAAGTTCTGAAAGGAGAGTGTCTGCTGAGGCGACTGCTTTTGACAGAACAGCGAAAACGAGAATCAAAGGCCCCACAAGCATCCCCCACACAGACACGTCAATATAATGGATATTCTGGGGGAACCCGAAGCAGACGTTCCTGTGTCACCACAGCGGTCTGCTGAGACGAGAGCCTGGGGTCTCTGCAGCTCCATCCTGAATCACTCAGGAAAAGCACACACATGCATGCGTGTGTGTGTGTGTGTGTGTGTGTGTGTGTGTGTGTGTAAGGAGACCAGTGGTGACGTGCCACAGCCACCGGCAGGCCGCTCAGAGGGGTCTGTCACACTCTCTGCTCCACCTTTCCCTGCTTGACCACCTTCCTAATAAGAAGCTGAGGAGAAGCCCGAGCTTGGGATACATCCCGATTTACCTGAGGGCAGCATTCTCAATGTGTAAGTTGAGTTAGCCTCGAGGATAAGGGAGGTCTGAAGGGATAAGGACTGGGGCGGGCGGAAGCTGAGAAGCAACTGAACACCTGAGCAGGCAGCACTGGTTTCAACAGAGTTCTCGGGAGCACAGTCCCACTCAGTCTGCAGCCCGTGGCCCAACCTACTTTCATCCACCGGCGAGAGCAGCTTCTTGAGGTTCAGCATCTCCTCGTGGAGCCCGTTCAGGATGAAGCCCAGGTACTCCTCCGCGTCCTCCTGTCGGCCCTGGGGAGAGCAGAGGGGAGCATGTGAATGCTAGCCGATGACCATCCAGGCCTGCAGGGTGCCCCAGACCTACAGGTGGACAAGACGCCCCTCTGGCATGGAGCACAATTTCATGCGGTCTTTCCAAGATGCGACGCAGGTTTTTCTTTGGCTGGCCGAGATCCCGGGGCAGCAGGAAAGGAGGAACAGATTAAACCACATCCTGGCAGGACTATGGGGGCGCTTTACTTTCTCGCTTCTACTTTTCTGCACCTTTGAAATTTCCTTCAACACACGCTACCTCTGTAACAAAAAGGTCACTTAAACATTCTTTCTCGGGGACATGCCACAGGAGACCCAGAACCAGATGCCCAGAGCCGACTCATGGCCCCATGCCATTGTGGACTAAGATGGCAGCCCTTGTGTCTCCTCTGTCTGCTTCTGATGACAGGCAACCCAGGGCAAAGAATTCCAGTTGTACATAAACAACCCTACAAGCTCGGTCAGGGAAGAACAAAACGGCCAGTTGATGTGCTAAGGGTGCCCTGACTCACTTTGTGCAGCCACCGGGGCCCTTTATAAGGCCACATGGGTCCCTTGGTCCCCTGCCTTTAGTAACAAATTGTTTGATTAAGAAACTCACAGCCGGGCTCGGTGGCTCAGCCTGTAATCCCACACCTTTGGAGGCTGAGGTGGGTGAATTGCCTGAGCCCGTGGGTTCAAGACCCGCCTAGGCAACTTGGCGAGACCTCATCTCTACAATAAATCAAAAATTAGCTGGGCGTGGTAGCGCGCGCCTGTAGTTCCAGCTACTTGGAAGCCTGAGGCGGAAGGATCGCCGGAGCCCAGCAGGTTGAGGCTGCAGTGGCCAGGGGCGGCTGCTGCATTCCAGTCTGGGCGACGGAGTGAGACTCCAACTCAAAAAAAAAAAAAAACAATAAAAACCAACCAACCAAACAAACAAACAAAAAAACCAACAAAAATAGAAACTCAGGCCACACAGGATGGCTCATGCCTATAATCCTAGTGTTTTGGGGGGGCTGAAGTGAGAGGACTGCCTGAGGCCTGTAGTTCAAGACCAACCTGGGCAATGTAGTGAGACTGTCTCTACAAAAACCAATGTAAGTTTTTCCAGGTGTGGTGGCACACGACCGTAGTTCCAGCTACTTGGAAAGCTGAGATGGGAGGATCACTCGAGCCCAGAAAGTTGAGGCTGTGGTGAGCTATGATCACACCACTGCACCCCAGCCTGGTGACACAACAAGATTTTGTCTGCCTCTGCCCTCTCCTGCCCTGCCAAAAAGTTTTAGGTGAAGGAGTCAAGGACACTGAATAGCTACTAAAGCCTGGGAGTCTGGTGAGACATAAGCTCTTCTGAATCCAGCCCCACTCCAAGGCTGATGCGCACACTCCTGGCTACCCAAAAGGCTGCTGTGGTTAAGAACTGCCTCGAAAGCCAGGCACTGCCATCTACTAGCTGTGACCTCGGACAATGATTGCTCCTCTCTGACTTTCATAAGGAGACAATAATCACCATTTGTTCTCAGGGTTGACTAAGTCAATGGACGTGCAATAATCAGGACAGCACCTGGTGCTTAGTGAAAATTCTGTGTGTGAGGTCCGATCACATGGGCTGACAACTGCCCTTTCAATTCATTCAGGCAACGGACTCCACTGCAAACCCAGATCTCCTCCCGAGCACCTGCTATGCGAGCACTCGAGACAGAGGGCAATCTGGAAGAAGCCACAGCTCCTGGGCAAGCGGGAGCCAAGGCGACATTTCCTACTGGTCACAGGAGAGTCTCAAACCTTCTCAGACAGGCTGGACTTGTTAACTGTCAGGAGTCTGTAGATGTATGTGGGTTCAAAGGCAGCGCCTGGGCGGATGTCCCTCACGACTTTGTCCCCAAGAGCTGTGGAGGAAACAGGACATGGGGGCTTATCACTAGGATGAAGTCAATGTCATGGGGACAGGACACCCCACCCCCAGCCCATGCTGACACTGCAGAGGTATGGCACCCTGCGTTTAAAGACGTCGTCTTTCCACCAACACTGCACTGACCCGGCCCCACCCTGACTCTGAACCCCTCAGGTCTGGCTCCAGGGACCCACCTTACTCACCTTGCCGAGGCTTTGGAGGTACTGGCATGTTAGTAAACTCATTCATTAGCCGAACACTAAATGTAGGGAAAAGAACATTAAGCACTGCACTTCTAGAAAGACAAGCTGCTGCTAAAGACATGCTTCTATTCTGATGCTGAAGGAGAATATTAAGTCATATGACCATGGCAGATTTTCGGAAATCAATGCTGTAAGAGTCAGTGAACTCTTAAATCTTTTCCACATACGTTTTTGGTATATTTGGAATGATACATGCTGATAAACACGAAAATACTTTCTATGGAGTCGAAAGGACACAGAACAAAGCTCCAATTCCACTTCTGGTTAACTTCTGCATTAAATCATGAGTAGTACGTTAAAAAAGACGCCGAATTATAGATTCATTTGTGGGAAATCAAGAACTTAACTAAGCTGTGCCAATTCTAATTATCACAGGCAGGAAAACCCCGCCCCTTGACACACTTCTCAGCACCTTACTTACAAGCTATCTATCATGGGTGTTGACGTGCAAGGCCTTTGCACTTTTGAATACAGAGGAATGAACTTCATCAGGTGATACATCGGAGGGCAAGCCACCAACGCCTGTAGGGTCTAAGTGGTGCAGTAAGGAAGCGTAAAGGAAATGAAACAGACACACCCCATTTCCCAGAGGCACATTAAACACAAGAGCGTATCAGAACTAAATAAGCCAAGTACACTGAACTACTTAAGATACGTAAAGTGGCAAACCAAATAACCATTAGGTGACTGTCCTGCAACGTCCATACAGAACCTACTGTGCAGTCAGTCGTTTATATTCAAGAACTTGACCCAGCCAAGATAATACAGTCAGTTAAAGCAAGCTTTCCAATTGGAGGTGCTCACTCTGCCCTATTAATTGGGACTATTCTAATAAGTAAAACTTGCCTGCTTCTGTCAATCACAAGTCAACAAGTTCTCTTTATTCTGAGGGGGAAAAGGCTGGGGTCAGGGATAGCTGTTTATAAGCAACGTAGGCAGACCAAGTCATAGAAACAGGTTTCTGGATTCAACATGCAGGTCAGGTGCCCCACGGAAGTCAAAGCAGGTCAAATGCACCCAAAGAAGAGACCACGGCAACAGGCCGGCCTGGGGACGGCGTCCAGGAAGGATACAGCGTTAATGTAGCACCAGTTTCCTTTATTGATCAGCCCACGGGGTTGCAATGATACTGGTTTATGTATGAGGGTTACATTCTCCAGTAACTCTGAAAGAGTGAAGAAGCACATTTGAGAAATTAGTGACATCTTGTGAGGAATGCATCCATCAGGACACACGCTCTGCTCTGGGAGGGTGGACAATCTCACCAACAGAGCATACACTCAAAGAAACACACAATTAAGGCTCATTCAGTTCACCGGCAAGCACATTATTCAATGATTACCATTTTTTTCAAAGTCGTATTGTCCCCCAAGCGGCAACATTTCTCTTCCTGTGGGACTATCACTAGAAGGCACAAGGACTACCTCTCTTAATGAGAAGCAGAACACATGTCAAAAACAGTCCCAGTGTGAAGAGCAGATCTGATGGCACTGCTTTCCCCCCTCAGCCCTGCTAACTTGGGACCCTCATGAACACGCCACCAGGTCCCATATATCTGAGTGCCTATGCAGAGCCTCAGTGGGTCCCCAGCAGTCTATACTGTCCCCACAGAGGTGGCTCAGTGCTGTTCAGTGAGTCAAGACACCCCTTCTGGAGACAACTGTCTCCTACTAACTGCTTTTCCATGAGAAGTCCAACTGAGCGACTGTCTGATACACTCTTAACTCTTACTCTATTTACAAACAGGCATCTGAGTCCCAGGTGGCCCCGACATTGCTCTTTTTCAGTCTTAGATGGCTGTGAATGCCATCTCTGTACAGCTGACCATCACAGATGCCTTAAGATGGGACACGGTTCTGCTCCAGTAGGAATCCTGTGACAGGATGGCTGCAGCTTATGACTACCTTCTATACTCACCATGTCCTTGACAGTTCACAAATGCCAAATGGCAGGGCCCCTCCCTTAGTCACCCAGATGTACCACACTACCCCTTCCACCAGTAAGGAAACTGGGACTCGGAAGGGATAAGCACTTGTCTGTGCTCACACAGAAGCTAGGTAGCATCGTGAGGGTCTGAACTCCATGGGTGGCCAAAACACACAGTCTCCTTTACTTTTATTTTAATTTTTTTGAGTTGGAGTCTCACTCTGTTGCCCACACTGGAGTGCAGTATCACGATCATGGCTCACCACAGCCTCTACCTCTTGGGCTCAGGCGATCCTTCTCCCTCAGCCTCCTGAACAGCTGTGACTAAAGGTGTGCACCACCATGCCTGGCTAATTTTTTAATTTATTGTAGAGACGAGGTCTCACTATGTTGCCCAGGCTGGTCTTGAACTCCTGGGATGAAGCAATTCTCCCGCCCAGCTTCCCAAAAGTGCTGGGATTGCACGAGCCACTGCACCTGGCCCTCCTTTACTTTTAAACTGTACACTGAGAAAGAAAATATGGACACACATTTGATATTAGGACCTATCTAAGGCATTGCTCAAGCGAAAGCTTTTCTTTTCTAAAATACAGTTGTACTGGCAGGTCCCAGACTTAGGCACTAAGCAAATGAAACATAACTTTCCAAAATCCAAATGCCAACACACACACACACACACACACACACACACACACACACACACCCTCCATACCCTCCTTTCTGTGAGAGTAAATGTCCTCTTCCTTCTAACTGACAAAACACAGGGAACAATTTCTGCATAGCCCTCCTTGTATAGAAAGTAAGGCGCTGTGGGTTCAATTTAAGCTCTTCAATTAGACAAAGCTTGCAAATCCTCTCTCCCGCTTTCCCCTCTCCCTCCACTCTGCCTCTCTATGGGAGACACACCTGGGTTTTGAAATTAACAACAGAGCAGTTACAGAACCAAACGCCAAGCCTACATGTGGTGACAGCCAGCACTGACAGTGCCTGTCATGTGGGGGGACAGTGTCCTAAAAGTTTTATCTGTATTATTTATAATCATAACAACCCTGTCAAAGAGGCACCATCATCACCCCATTTTACAGATGAGAAAATGTAGGCCACATAACAGCTGAGCTGACCTGTGAACCTGGGTCCATCTGACTCCAGAGACTGAGCTCTTTTCCTTCAATATCTCAGGGGTGCTGCCTAGAAAGCCCCTTAAGGTGCTTACTTTGCCCCACAAGCTTAAGATCTACCGACAGTGGGTTTTAATGTACATTTGTTTTTCATCCATATTATCACAACAGTCTATCGTTGCTGGTTTGTGCCAAAGAACAGCCACTGAAAGAATTACTCTATCCAAAAGCTGCGTTTTCAAAGAAGCACCAATTCTCTAGTGCAAAGGCATGTCTCAAATGAAAGCTCTGGCATGGCACCACCGAGTCTTCGCCTTCATTATTCTTATATCTAACAATAATTGGCTGGGTGCAGTGGCTCAAGTCTGTAATCCCAGCATTTTAGGAGGCTGAGGCGAGAGGACTGTCTGAGTTCAGGGGTTCTAGACCAGCCTGGGTAACTTAGAAAGACCTCGTCTCTACAATAAATTAAAAAAAAAATAGCTGGACATGGTGGCGCGTGCCTGTAGTTCCAGCTACTTGGAAGGCTGAGGTGGAAGGATCACTGGAGCCTAACAGGTCGAGGCTGTGGTAGCTGTGAGTGTGCCACTGCAATCCAGCCTGGGCAACAAAGTTAAACTCCAACAACAACGAAAAATCAACGTTAAGTTGTTACATAACCACAAGACTCGCAATCTGCTGTCTCTCTCCACAGGGACCTTTGTTAACCAACATGTCAGCTGCCTTTCGCTGACAGCTGAACAGATACTTGCTGAGCTCTGCCTGGGTGCCCAGTGGTGATGACCAAGCTGGCCCTCCAGTGGGGTGAGATGGGGCCATGGAAGGGAAGGAGATGAGGGCACAGGCACGAGAGGGACTGGATGGGAGAACAGTTGCTTCAGCTTTCATGGTGGGGTGGGAGGCTCTCCCAGGGCAGGGCTGGGAAGCAGATGCAACAGGGGCGGGGCGGGGCGGGGCAGGGCAGGACTCCTGTCCAGCACAAACGCTGGTGGGAAGCGGAAAGAAATTAACCAAGGCCGGGCATGCACGGTCTACCTGAAACTTCCTTACACGTCAGCTGTTCAAAAACAAGCTTACGGCAGTTGAGAGAATGTTGAATTCACAGCTTCAGTAACTCTCACAAGAGAATCAGGTGCCATGCGACCAAGAACTCACTGGCCGAGGCTCCCCCTGACAATGCAGCTCCCGGAGGTCTTTACCCAAGCACCGTGAGTGAGTAATCTGTCCGGCTGGAAGACTTGAACATACAAGCTCCGTGAAGAGGACACTGCCAACCCCAATCAGCAACAACCTGCTTTGTCTCCAGCGTTTGGGACACAGTCTGGACAGAAGCCTTCAGTTTCTACAACCCTTCCCTCGAGGCAGTGCTGGCCTCCAGGTTGCCTGTTTGAGGAGCGGGCAGGTAAAAGGCAGTTTTGATGTTTTTCTTCCTTGATATCACATTCGTGTCTTTTAGCATCACCTAGTGGCTTGTTCAACAACCGCAAGCAGCAAGGTTTCCGTGGGGAGCAGGAGGGGCCAGCTGCACTCCACAGATCTGCTCAAGCCCGTTCACTCTCTCCAAGCGCCTGCTGGTACAATGTTCTGGCATGCAGAATACATCTTCAGAGAATTGGGAAATACAGAGAAGGGACACGAGACACTCTAGCTCATTTGGTGAACTCTAGAAGGGCGATATCTCCCATAAACCGAAGCACAGCCCCATCCTGCTAGGAGCATCTTCCAACAACTCCATCAGACTCAGTCAGCTGAGACTGGCTGCCATCTCCCCAGGCCCCCGCGGTTCCCCATACTGTATCCTACAGCAGCGGACACCACTGCCATCTGCCATGGGACACATCTCCCCGACAGGAAGACACCCCTCACACTGAGGTAACAGGACTTCACGGCTGTGCCCTTGGCCTGCTCCGCCATGCCTCCTGGCTGCATGCCCTCCCCATGTCCTTTCCCCACCCCTCTGCAAGCTTGTCTCTCTTTCTGCTAACAGGAGCTGCATCTATTCCTTTCTTCTTTCCCCTAGACTACCTTCAAGGCAAGACCGATCATTACTGCCCTAGATAGTACATGGCACACAGTAAGTACTCACTAGGCAGTAACACAGGCTGCAGTAAACATCTGGAGGCTCGAGGTGTTGGTTGAGGCAAACGACTTCATTCCCACTAGTAAGGAAAGACTCAACAGACCTTCAAGCCGTTGATCTCACAGTTGAGAAAGTCTAAGCCCCAAGGGGATGCAGACCATGGGCAAGGACTACACCAGCAAGACCTGGGCTCCCCCCCATCTCTGGCTCTGCCATGTCACTCGTGCTGCCAGTTGGAGCAGATCACTGCACACCTCAGCCATGGCAGGAACAACGAGTGCACACGCTCGGCTTGCAAGGACATGCTCGCAAGATCATACAGACCATGGCCACACCTGGTGTGACATCAGACACTCCACAAGCCCCACTCGGAAACAAGGAGCCAGAACGGGTGGGAGAAGGAAGAGGAAATTAACCTACACAAGAGTTTGAGAAAACCAACAATTTTCAGCATCCCAGAAAGAAATCAGCCTATAACTTCCTTAAAATATTGACAAGGTTTGAATATCTTGTGAATATACATTAATGAAATTCCATTTCAAAAGGAAAGACTGTAAAAAATTAAGATTAAGTAGCTTGTCTAGGGCTTCCTCTTAAAACCTCAATATGCAAGAAGCATGAAGACCTTCTGCTGGACACCAACCCCACCTGAGGGATTTCAGTCCAACGAGCCAACCCTGGTGCCAGCACTGCATGCCACTGCCACCATGTGCCTCCTCACCTCTGAGGGAAGACCACGCAAAAGCAATGCCAGGTCCTCGTGGAGTCAGGATTCACCAATCCTAAACTGAATTCTGCTCACATCAGTCACTCCTATTGCCATAATTCAAAAGTCAGGACTTGTAGACACGCCAGTATCAACACTGCTTACAATTTGCCAGTATCACTCTTTGTTCTTTTTAAGTTTCTCTCTCTCTCCTTTTTTTTTTTGAGTCTGTCATCCAGACTGTAATGCAATGGTGCAATCATAGCTCACTGTAAACTTGAACTCTTGGGCTCAAGCAATCCTTCCACCTTAGCCTCCTGAGTAGCTAGGACTAC